TAATTCTGGAAACCCTCTGGTCAGTTCTACTCTGTCCTACAGGGTCACTAAGAGTCAGAATTGACTAACTGGCAGTGGATTAGGTGTTGGTTTTTCCTAGACTAAGACAGATTAAGAAGAAAGATTTGGCCTTCTTCCAAATATCAGCTGATGAAAACCTTATGGATCACAACTGTCCAACCGATCATGGGGACCCAGCAGCACTTCATTCCATACTTCGTAGGGTCACAGTAAGTCAGAAGGCAGACTTAGACAGCTGCTTAGACAGCAGCTAACAACTTCCACTTGACTCAACCTCTGTTTCCAGTGGTTATACAATCTAAATTAAATACAATATGTGGTTTCAACTGGGATAATCCAATTCCTATCCAGGAAGTCTACATAATATTGTTAATATAAACAACTGTATTTTCATTCTAAAAACAGCAATGTTTAATTAGCTAATGAAATGATTCTTCAGTATAATACAGTCACTTCATTATACAAGAGTATAAGAGTACATTCTACTGTAAAAATAAAGACTCTAAATGAGCTTCATATTACACTAAATCCACATATATGCTTCACTAAAAAAAAAAGAAAAATCTTTTCTTTAAAGAGAAATGATGACGAATAGGGAAGCTCTTGGAAATAGTCTTAGTTGCTCTCCCTCCCCTTTCCTCACTTTCCTCCAGACCAATTTAAAAGAATAGAGTCAGAAAGGCCCTTAGGGGCCATCTAGCCCATGGACATTTTAAATAGTATGCTGTGAAGCACTGACCAGGCTTCAAGAGTTCTATTACCAACAAAATATTAATAATAAAAAAAAAAAATCACTGTGGTTTTCATCTGCACGAGGAGCCCAATTTTAACGTTTTATTTTTATAAGCAATCCACTGCCCAAATCCAGAAGTTTGAAAAACTAATAGTCTAATATCTCATATTCCAAATGTATAATCTAAAGCTGAGGTTAAGTACCACAAGAAGATATTATTGGCAAAAAGCCAGGCACAGTATAGATAAACTGAGGTCTTCTGGCTAGATCTCCCTGCCTCTCTTTTGAGGACAGGAGGAGAAAATTAAATTGAGTTTCAAGATTACCTTTCTTCAATTTCATTCTTACATGAACCATACAGGTTATCTACCAATACCTCTCACTTAACATATCTATGGGGAGCTCTGGTAGCATAGTGCCTAAGGCACTTGACTGCTAACCAGAAGGCTGGCAGTTCAAACCTACCAGCCACTCCTCAGAAGGAAGATGGGGCAATCTACTTCCGTAGTGATACTGCCTTGGAAACCCAACGAGGGGTCGCTATGAATCAGGTCCAACTCCAAGGCAAACAACAACAAAGTATCTATGAGCTGTTTTCACTGCCATTTTCCACAAAGACCACTAGTTTGTGCCTCTGCTTTAATCTGTAAAGAGCTATAGTGGCACTTTGGTTAAAGCACTGGACTGCTAACCAGAACATCAGCGGTTCGAATCCACCAGCCAATCCACAGGACAAAGATGAGGCAGTCTGCTTCCGCAAAGATTTAGTCAAAAAAAGAAAAGATTTACAGACTTTGTAATGCTATGGGGTAGTTCTACTCTGTCCTATAGCATTGCTATGAGTCGGAAGCAACTGTTTCTTCAACTTGTCTAATGTAGTCCTTTCTTCAAAATTGGCCCTGTGATATATTACATAAAACAATGTCTCCTGAACAGGCAGTATGTATCCTTTAAACTATCACAGGAAACAGCTTTATTACATTATATGGCCTTTTTCTTTTTTCTCCTTTTCTGATTGTCTTTTTTATTATTATTTTTTATTGTGATTTGGGTGAAAGTTTACAGAGCAAATTCATACAGAATTTCATACACATCTTGTTTCCTGACATTGCCTACAATTCCCCAAAAGGTAACAGCTCTCTTCCCACTTCCTCCTTGTAGATACCTCTTCCCTGTGTGCTTATTTCCTGTGCATTCCTGCCCCCCCACAGCTATCTATCTGTGCAAACACTGCCCTTCTGTCCTCCCCCAATTGTTCGCTCTAAGGAGTGTATCCACCTGACGTAAATGTTCACCCCATATGCCTGTCTGTTGTTTAGCTGGAAGCCACAGGAGTGAGTTCAGTTCCAGTCTTGAAGGATAACTAGGAGCCATAGTCTCAGGGGTCTCACTGGGCTCTATCAGACCAAAAATGTGGTCTTTTTTTTAATGATTTTGACTTTTGTTCCACATTGTTCTCCCACTGTATCCGGGATCTCCTGCACTGATCCCTTTCTGAGTGGTTGACAGTGGTAGCCAAGCACCACCTATGTCTTCTGGTCTCATGGTCATATAGGGTGAGGATCACATGGTCTACCAATCTCTTGGGACTAACTGGTTCCTTGTGTGTCTGGTTTTCTTCATTCTTCTTTGTTCTAGATGAGGAGAGACCCACTGTTCCATCTAGATGGCTGCTTCTAAGCTTTTAAGACCCTAGTCGCTACCCACCAATATAGGATGTACAACAATGTTTTTGTGTAATATGTTATGCCAATTGAGCTTGATGTCCCCTGAAACCATGGTCCTAAGCCCACAGGTCCAACTACTCATTACCTCAGGGTGTCTGGCTGTGGTACCCAGCCATTTTTGTAACACACAGAAATAACCTTTCTTAATAGAGATGCTAAACAGACCTCAAGTCTCAAGATGGATTGAAACAATTATGGTTAACTACTGAGATGAGGTGAAAAGTCAAAAAAAAGGGGGGCCAAATGTAGAGCCTGGGTCTCTCCCAAGCCAGTATTTCGTTCTACACAGATCTGTGACACCCAGATTAAGGGGTCACAATTCTGTCAATCCAATCCCAGGGCCTCTGAACAACACTTACACCCTGGTCTTCTCTAAGAAAGTGCTGATCTATGCAAGCATTTCTTGTACTTTACAAACTACTCAAACAGTCCTTGTGGAAAAATACATGCTGGATTATTTGAGGATCCCCAGGATATAAAAATAAAATCAAAGAATACTAGAGCAGGATGGATTCTCAGGAATTATTTAATCCACCCTCCTCACTCACATTAACACATGATTAAGTAACTTCCGTACAATGAGGAGCCAGTGGGAGAAACTAGATTGTATTCACATTACTATATTTACATTCTTCTACCAAGTCCTAAATATTATCATTACTCAGGTAACTGACAGCTATCCTCACACATTTTGGCATTATTTAGACACAAATTTGTGCAGCATGCAAGGACATCTGCAAACAGGACACCTTAACATATGACTTAGGAGAAAAACACATACCCAAGATCACAACATGTCCCACCAAGTTAAAAATGTCACATAGTGCAATACCAAGAATCAGTTTGCAGCATTTAACCACCGTTCCAAAACAAAAGTTCTATCTAATGGCATTTCTTGTTGGTTATCTACATATAAATAATAAAAGGGCTCAGTTATTAGGCCACCCACCTTCAAACCTGCCCTAAACACCAAATATGTTCCATTGTAGCCATTCTAATAAAACTACCCTTATCAAATAAGGCCCAGTAACAACAAAATCATAAGTGCTAGTTTACCAAACCTGATAACAATAAGTTTAACTATGCCTTTCTCAATTATAGATTCATAAATCCAAACCAGATATACTTTACACATAGGCATATATATAATCTGCACCTAAAAGGAGCTGTTTGTGTCCAAAAAAATGGTGTTTTCTGGCAGATCAAACCCAAGTGATTAAAATGGGTATATGACAAAGTAAGTATTTTTACTGTCCCTAAGGAACACAAACATCTAGGAGGCTCACTTGAAAAAAAAAAAAAAAAAAAACTTTTAATTTTAATCATTAAGTACTTCTTCCCAGACCCTCCAAAAAGACAAGATAAGAATCATCCCGTGTGACGAAATGTAGAGAGGACTATTGCATTACAAAACCCTGAGTCATCACCCAGTTCACTCAGCAGATTTGGGTAAACATTGTCTAAGTGACTTATGTCTTGTGTGTGTTCACCCTTCCATACCCACAAGCATTAAGCCACAGTGTTACCAGATTTTATAAATAGTGAATCAAACATGCTATAACAAAATTCTATTTTACAAAGTTCTTCTGACACACTGAACTAGCAAATAAAGTCAAACCTTTGTCCCCACTGTCTATTTACTCGTGTTTTTGTCTCTGATCTCAGTGACACTATAGTTTGCGCCTAGTTTATGCAAAACAAACAAAAAACACAACTCCAGAAACTGACTTTGTAATAATCTATGTTTCTCTGAGCTACTCAAAAATCGACACAAGCCTGTATTAATGCCCTGGACAACCTAACAGCCCTCCCTCTGTTTTTCTTAGTATTGTAAAGGTCTTTTCTAAGAATTGTCACAACGGAGGCAACATACACTTTTCAACATTAATGTCTAGTCTACAGCCAGTGCACTGGCCAAGAGTGAGCTCAAAGATGATTTTAAACCAACCTTTTAAACCAAATGCACAAAGACTAAGCAGATCCAAAAAAAGCAGAACCCAGAAGTTTCCTTCCGACCTCCTCCACATTCAGAAACTGAAGGCAGAAAAGTTACTAGATGCAAACAGAGGGATATAAAGAGGCGGATACCATAGGGGGAAAAAGAACCCAAGGGAGCATAGAAGGAGTCAACAGTTCCTCCCCTAAAGACAGATCCTCTCCGTATACCCCCAAATCCGTGACAGGCAATGGTCCATGGAGGACCTTTGGAGACAACTCACCACCACCCCCGCCTTGGGGCAGGGGTCCCTTCGGCTCCCCAGAGTCCTGTGGATAGGAAAACAACAACCCAAACCCTTGGGGAGAAGCAGCAGGGGAAGACGTGGAGGACTGCTGAGAACCATGAAGCACTGTAGGAAAGTGGCAGGGGGGCGGCATGAGTGCTTTCGAAAACACTGGGAGCAGAAATGGGTGTCCAGCTCTCCCTGACAAAGAGCCGCCCCGGCTCCCTTCCCACTGACCCTTTACCCTCGGTCCCCAGCCCCTGGCCTGGCCCACCCCGCAGGCCTGGGCACACTTACGTGGAGAGTTTTCTGGTCCAGAAGAGGCCACCGGGCCACAGCTCTTGGAGCTGCACGGCCCGGCCCAGGTTGCTCTTGATCTGGGCCAGCTGCAAGTCGGACTCGGCGTCCAGCCGTTCGGCGTAGGGTAGCAGCTTGTTATAGACAATCTCCTTTTGCGGGACGAAGCTCCGCGGGCCCGGAACGGGGCAACCGCCTGGCTCCGGGGGGTCCCCGCAACCAGCCAGCTCGGCCGGCTCCATGAGCCAAGAGACAGCCCCCCACCCCCTCCCACCCTAGCCCTCCCCGGCCCCCACCCCTCTCCGGTCTCCGCCGCCTCCGCGTAGTCGTCGCCCCGCGGCCGCCGGCGGCCCGTAGCCCTCGGCCCGACCGCTGGGCCCCCTCCCCTGGCCGGCGCGCAGACCTCCGCGCGGTCTCCGGTTCGTTGGCGGCGGCAGCGGCCGCTCCGCCCGCCCCACACTGGCTCTCCTGGTGACGCTGCAGTTGCCGGGCCGGGAGGTTCCGGACGGGGCTCTAGTCACTTCCGGGGCGGGACGACAGCGTGGGAGGAGGCGGTGGCCGTAGCTTAGGGTGCCGCGCCTTCTTCGCGGAGGGCTGGGCTTGAAGCCCCCCCACCCCCAGGCCTCACCGGCTGTGCTGGACACCCGCCCACCGGAAACACGAGGCCGAATTCCACGCTATTGTCCCTGCCTTGCCTGAAGTCGCCCGGTCCTTGCGGCAACCTTCGGCAACGTAAATTCGCTGTGGCTTCTGGCAACGGAGTTAACTTAGTCCCCTATGCCTAGTAACTCCTAGTTCTCGGTTAGAGGAAGAATGTATGGAAAAGCCCTGTGTACCTTGTATCCATCCCACTTGTTACTCAGAGAGTTTTACTCTGTCCCTCTAAACCCTCGTCTTTCTGATATTCTGGCCGCCAGCAATCCAAAGACGGAAATAGTTATATATTCAACAAATATTAACTGAACTATTATTGTGTGTGTCAAACGTTCTGTTTAGGCTCTTGAGGTGAAAATATAACAGCACCCCGTTTCTGCCCTCCAGGGACTTACTGTCTAGTGGAGATACTTGAATGAGCAATTACAAGACAATGCTTTTAATTGCTGTATTAAATGCAGGCTGCCTTGGGAACTCGAGGAGAAGTACAGACAAGAGATTTCAGGTGGGTTCTAGGAGTTATACTTGAGATGTGAGGGTTAAGTACAGAGGGGGGAATCAAGGAATTCAGAAAAGTTCAGGATCACTGAAGATTGCTTGCAAGTCAGGAGAGGGAAGAAATAAGACTGAGAAAAATGCTAGAGAGTTAGGGCTTTATCCTAAAGGCAACAAGAAACTGTTGAAATATTTTAAGTTTAGCAGAGGCATGATAGAATTTGTATTTTAGAAGAATCACTGGCTTTGTAGGGAGGATGGATTGGAGGGGACAATATTGGAAACAAGAGTACTGGTTAAAAAGCTCCCTAGTAATGCGAGTTGAAGTAATGATGATCTGGTTGTCAGGTGAAATTATTTAAGAGCTATTTCAGAAAGTGAAATGGTTAAGGCTTGGTAGTTGATTGTGAAGAATGAGAGATGAAAGAGACAGGATGATGAATAACAGATGTCTGGCTTGGGAAACTAGGTAAATTGTGAAGCCCTTCACTGAGAGAACAAAGCAGCAGAAACAGGCTTGAAGACAGAAATGGCAAAAAGCCTTTGGGATGGTTAGGTATTTTGAGGTATGTATCAGAAGGATGATCTAAACTGGGATATGGATTAGCATACAGGTGGATAGGAGGGCGTGAGATATGCCATGTGAAAAGAATAGGATCCTTGCCAGACTTTTGAGGAACAACAACATTTAAGAATGGGCAGAGAAAGAGGAGATAGACCACAAAGAATATTCTCTGAGGGGCAGAGAAGCTAGGAGAGTGTACATTACTAAAACCAATTATTGTTTCAGAAGGAGGAAGTGATCAACAGTGCCAAACTTGGCTGACAGGCCAAATGAAATGAAACCTGAGAAAAGGAGTTATTGATAAACCAAATAAGAACAGTTTCAGTGAGGTGTAGGAATAGAAAACGGATTACAGTGACAAAAGACAAACAGCAAGTGAATAGTGTCAACAACAGTGGACAACCTTTTTCAAAAATTTGAGTGGGAGAAACAAGAGAAAGATGAGGTAGCTGGAATACAAATTTTTATGGGTGGGATAAATTTAAATATGTTTAAATATTGATGAGAAGGAGCCAATGGGGAGAGAGATTGAAGATGTGTGAGTAAGGATGATAAAGAATAGGAGAGATGTGGAAGAAATGGCCCTTAACTATAAACCAGACTGTGCTTCATTGGCAGAAGAGGAAACGGGAAGGATTGGTGCAAATGCAGGAAGCTTTGGTTGTGGACAGTTAAAGAAGTTCATTTCTGATGGCTTCTGTTTTTTTTTTTTTTTCGTGAATTAAGAGAATGAAAATGATTGAGGGATGGTGGAAAGAGATTTTGAGGATATTGAACAAGGCTTGAGCTCTAAAGTTAGAAAACTGATTAAATAGAGTAGAATTGCTTTCTTTAATTGGAAGCTTACAGATTTGGTCACTGAAAGTTAAATTAATTTCTGATCATTTTTGTTTTTTTGCTGTGAAGCAAGAAAATGAAAATGATTGAGGGATTAGTAGGTAGAAGAACTGATGCTTTTGAATTACGGTGTTGGCGAAGAGTAATGAGCATACCATGGGCTGCCTGAAGAATGAACAAATCTGTTCTTGGAAGAAGTGCCTCCAGAATGCTTCTTAAAAGTGAAGATGGAGAGACTTCATCTCACATACTTTGGACATGTTATCAGAAGGGACCAGTCCTTGCAGAAGGATTTGCTAAAGTAGAGGGTCAGCTAGAAAGAGGAAGCCCTGAACAAGATGAACTGACACAGTAACTGCAACAGTGGGCTCAAGCATAGCGGTGATTTTGAGGATGGCACAGGACTGGGCAGTTTTGTTCTATTGTACATGGGGTCACTATGAGTTGGAACCAGATCAATGGCATCTAACAACAACAGCAAGTATTGCCTGGCATGGATGAAGACTTCTTAAGCCTAGAGGCATACATTTACTATTATCAGTTTTCACTGTTTAGGGAGTTTCTCTAGTAATTGGATTTTCTCCAATAATCCTTAATTGTATGGCATAATTGTCTGGTATTACTCACCTACACACACTCACAGCTGATCCAGGTAAGGAGGGAGAGCTCCTACCACAGGCAGGAAGCAGGAAGCCAGGGCAGATGGCCAGAACCAGGTAAAGGTAGGGATAGCCCCAATACAGACAGGAAACAGGAAGCCAGGACCAACGGTGGGATACAGGTAGGGGCAAGGCCAGGAAGTAGGTGGAGAGGTTTGGAGACAAACTTGTCTATCAATTTGTGATACTGTGGTGGCATGCGTGTTGTGGTGAGGCTGGAAGCTGTGCCACTGGTGTTTCAAATGCCAGCAGGGTTACCTATGGTGGACAGGTTTCAGCAGAGCTTCCAGACTAAGACAGACTTGGAAGAAGGAAGAGGTCATCCACTTCTCAAAAAATTGGCCAGACCTTATGAATACCAGAGAAACATTGTCTGATACATTACTAGACAACTTTATGAATAGTCCTGTAACATTGTCTGATAAAGTGCCAGAAAGATGAGCCCCTCAGGGCAGAAGGCACTCAAAATTCCAATGGAAAAGAGCTGCCTCATAAGAGGAGAACCGACCTTAATGATATGGGTAAAGTAAAGCTTTCAGGACTTCCATTTGCTGACGTGGCATGACTCAAACTTAGCAGAAACAGCTCCAAACATCTGTTAATAATCAGAACATGGAATGTATGAAGTATGCATCTAGGAAAATTGGAAGTTGTCAAAATGAAATGGAACGCATAAAGATTGATATCCTAGGCATTAGTGAGCTGAAACAGACTGCTTTAGGCCATTTTATACCAGGCAACCATATGATCTACAGTGCCGGGAATGACAATTTGAAGAGGAATGGGCTGGCATTCATCATCACAAAGACTGTTTCAAGATCTATCCTGAAGTACAGTGCTGTCAGTGATAGGATAATATCCATACAAGGAAGGCCAGTTAATACTACTGTTATTCAAATTTATGCACCAACCACCAAAGCCAAAGATGAGGAAACTGAAGATTTTTACCAACTTCTTCAGTCTGAAATTGACCAAACATGCAATCAAGATATGTTGATTATCACTGGTGATTGGGATGCAAAAGTTGAAAACAAAGAAGAATCACCAGTAGTTGGAAAATTTGGCCTTGGTGATGGAAATAACGCTAGAGATCGCATGATAGAATTTTGCAAGACCAACAACTTATTCATTGCAAATGCCTTTTTGCAACAACACAAATGGCAGCTATGTACATGGACTTCACCAGATGGAGTACACAGGAATCAGATTGACTACATCTATGGCAAGAGGTAATGGTATCTTCAGTATCTTCAGCCAAAACAAGGCCAGGAGCTGATTGTGGAACAGACCATCAACTGCTCATATGCAAGCTGAAGTTGAAGATAATTAAAAGAACTCCATGAGAGCCAACATATGACCTTGATATCCCTCCTAAATATAGAAACCATCTAAAGAATAGATTTGATGCATTGAACACCAATGGCCAAAAACCAGAGGAATTGTGGGATGACATCAAGAACATCATCCATGAAGAAAGCAAAAGGTGATTAAAAAGACAGGAAAGAAGAAAAG